ACAGGAAAACTCCACCTACAAATGGTGCCCAACTTGGGTCATAGATCCACATGAGTCCTAAAAAAGCTTAAAAGGTTCTAAACACACAAAAATAGAGCCAGACACAGCTTCCTAGTCTCACAGTCTCACACCAGCCGCAATGCAGAGATGCATCTCCCAACAGCTGCCTTCAAGATAGAGCCAGGCACCAACCACCAGGACCTAAGCCATGTTGTGGTTCCCAAGAGTTTTTGCTCATGCAGACAAAGAAGGTTACAGATAAGCAGTAAAGACAGATTCAAATGAAAAAAAAAAAAAAACTCAATGGGTTACAGTGTGTTTAAAAATAAGTGTAGGCTTGGGAGAGAAAAGAAAATGGGTAGAGAAAGTCCTTAAAAAAGGAATAGAGTAATAAAAAAATATAATAAGCCACATAAAGATGGGAAATACACAGAGTCTGGATCCTGTATGTTATTATGTTGTCTTTGAATTTTTGGTTGGTAAGAGACATTGGATTATAAAAACTTCAGATTCAACCAACCTATATGTAGTCATAAGTTTTCCTGTGCTCTCCCAGCACCAAGGTCCCACAGCAACTTATAAAATTCCTTGTCCCACCTGGCCCTGCAACCACTCAGACCCAAGTAAACACACAGAGGTTTCTATGAATTAAAACTGCTTGGCTATTAGCTCAGGCCTACCACTGACTAGCTCTTACACTTAAACTCAACCCATTTCTGTTAATCTATATGTTGCCACATGTTCTGTGGCTTTACCTGTGTGTCATTACATGCTTCCCCCTGGACAGTGGCTGGCATCTCCTCACTCAGCCCTTCCTCTTCCCAGAATTCTCCTTGTCTGCTTATCCCACCTATACTTCCTGCCTGGCTACTAGTCAATCAGCATTTTATTTACAAACCAATCAGAGGAACACATATTCACAGCATACAGAATGACATTCCACAGCACCTTCCCTTTTCTGTCTAATCAAAAAGGAAGGTTTTAACTTTAACAGTAGAATTACATATACTAGAACAGTTATCAAGCAAGAATTACAGTTACAATATCTAGTCTATTTGTATTTGGCAAAATTTAAGAAAATATTCTATCTACCCTATATTTGTGAGTCTAAAGTTTCATATCTAATTTATCTTTTATTATAACTAAGCAAAATTATATCTAGTCTTCAACTACATCAAAGACCCCAGAAGGATATAATATTATCTAAGTAAACAGGAAGAGCATTTTTAAGTAACTTCCAAAAATCTAGAATGACAGAGACAGCTGGCTGCCTGGACAGTCACCCAAAGTTCCTCTGTAACTTTGGGGCATCCATCTTCAGCCATATAGGCCTAGAGTCTCTCAGTCTCTTTTCTCTGTGTCCTGTAGAATGTCTGGCAGTTTCTTCTGTGAAGCAGGAACCCGAAGGACCATTTTGCCTTGCAAAGTTCAGTGGTCACCTTCCAATGGGTCCTGCATGTCCAGTCGATACAACATTTTGTCAAGCAGTCTAGGCAAGAATAGTTTCTTGCCCAAATGACTATTTTTGCCAAGAAGATAAACTCCATATGGAGTGTCTTTGATGCCCATCCTCCTCTCTGAAGTAAATCAGTGCTGCCAGGAGCGGATGTGTCTCATTGTCCAGGAAAGTCTAAGTTTTTAAAATATTTTAAATGCCATATTCTGTCAGTCTTTGAAATGTTTGAAGATTATCTACATAATTGAAATATATCTATGTATGCCTAGAAAACTTAATTAACATGACTATAAGTTTGATTATCATAGATTATTTACTATTAATCTGTATTTCTTAATGATACATTACAATTTTAAATGAGTTGTATAAACATAATACCTTAAACAAGAGTAAAAATAAAGACTTCAAAATTTAAGCCAAAAGATATATTACTTTGGGGGAGAGGTTATGATTTTATTTTCATAGGAATGAGAGGCTGTGGATTCATTCTGGGTTAAAGAAAACCAGATTTGATTGAGGAAGACCCTCTGAAATCCTGACTACAGACATTAAAAAAAAAACAACCTAGAATTACAAGACAAGGGATGTATATTTCACAGGCTGAAACACATAACAAAAATCAGCTTTGGATGACTTGTATACAATAAGTATTGCATAGTCTATACTTGCATTAATGCAGATATGTATGTTACCTATAAAAGTTTATGTATTTTCAGAACAAGGGAACTAGACACCAATAAAAATGACCCAGGTGATCCAGCACCCAAAACAGCTTTAATGATGCTGAGACGATCCAGCCTCACAACTACTCCAGCCAAGACTTAACAATTATCCAATTTTCTCAAGTTTCCTCAAAAAATGTCAAAACCCCAAAACAATAGGAAGTAGTCTAGAGAACTATGCTCACATTCCCAAAAAATTGGTTATGGATGTTTGTTATAATTTAAGGAGGGTTGGTTACAAGTTGTTATTGGTAATACTCAGGAAAAAAGCTGAACATAGGAGATTAGATTCAAGGATCTCTATCTGAAAAGAATAAGGGGGGATATAGAAATGATAGAATAAAGGGGTAGACTATTAAATCTACTTTTAAACCAAAAAAACAACTACTAGACTTAAATATTTTACATTGGTATGGATTTTTGTATATTGATACAAATTTAAAGTTAATTTTGTTATACGGCATGTATAAGGTATTATGCTTATGCATATTATTTTAAAATGTAATGTATAATTAAGAAATACAGATTAATAGTCATCTATAATAGTAAAACTTATAGTCATGTAAGGTATGTTTTCAAGGTCATATATAGATATATTTAGATAGATAGATGATCTTCAAAATGTACTTCAAAAATGTACAGAATATGACATTTAATATGTTTAATAACCTAAGGCTTTTCATGACAGTGAGATGTCTGCTCCTGGCAGTATCAATCTACTTCAGAGGAGAAGATGGGCATCAAAGAAACTCCATATGGAGTTTGCTTTCTTTATAGCAAAAGATAGCCATGTGGGCAAAGAAACTGTCCTTGCTTCAATTGCTGACAGTTACTGTCCAAACTGGACCAGCAGGACACAAGAAAAGAAACTGCCAAACTTTGCCAAGACAAGGTAGGACAGTCCTTCAAAATTCCCTGCTTTACAGGAAAGTCTATCAGATATTCTAGGCCTCTAGGCCAGAGTTGGATGCTCCAACTTTGCAGAGAAACTTTGGATGACTGTCCAGGCAGCCTGATGTCCCTGTCATTAGGTAACATTTCATATTTCTGGGGTCTTTGATGGAGTTAAAGAGTAAGTAGCTAAACTTATAGTTTTCCTTAGTTATGATAAAAGGTAAATTGAGTATAATAAAACTTTAGACTCACAAAAATAATATAGATAATAAAATATTTTCTCTAATTTAATCAAATATGAATGGACTGGATATTGTAACTGTAATTCTTACCTAAAAACTGTTTTTCTTGTATATAATCTTACTATGTTAAAGTTAAAACCTTCCTTTTTAATTAGACAAAAAGGGGGAAATGTTGTAGAATAATCCCTCTGTGCACTGTGTGAATATATGTCGTTATGATTGGTTTAATAAACAAGCTGACTGACTGGTCAATAGCTGAACAGGATAAAGTTAGGTGGGAAAGCCAAACTGAGAATGATGGGATGAGGAAGGGTAGAGTCAGAAGGATGCCAGCCAGTTGCCGAGGAAGCGGGACATGTAGAAAATGAGGTAACAAGCCATAAGCCACATGGCAAATCATAGATAAGAAATATGGGCTAATTTAAATGTAAGAGTTGGGTAATGACAAGCCTGGACTATCAGCTGAGCATTTGTAATTTATATTAAGTCTCCAAGTCAGTTATTTGGGAAGCAGCTGCCATTTTGGGGGGAGCAGGTGGTAAGAACAGGAAAATTCCACCTATAGCCTGAACCATAAATTTTGCCAATCTCCTAAAAATGAGCTACTGGGAATACCTGTTTCTGCTATAAAATAGAATTGACTCATGAAGATACAAGCAGAAATTAGATTTGGGTATGTTTACAGGAGCCTCCGCATCCAGGAAGTAGCATTTATGAGCTTGGCTTTGACTCTGTCACAGGCATTTTAAGTGGCTTCAGTCCCCCTAGTTCATGTGTAATCAGCCCATCTAGGGGTGGCACTCTGCTGTCCACTTCACAGCTCCTTATCCCTAGAATCCTCAGACTGTCACTTACTGAGTTACTCCTTTGCACTGGGCTCCATCATGCATTGCATCTGCCTGTCCCTAATCCTAGCAGCCACTGAATCTGAGTTTGAGCAGCCACATCAGCTAGTAAGTAATGGAGCAAGGATCTGTCAGCTGCCTCTCACTGACTTAGGCTAGCTTCTAGTCAGTAAGCATAGTTGAGTTATAAAGAGTGTGATAGATGATTGATAGATGATAGAGAGATAGAGATGATAGAGAGATAGAGATGATAGAGATGGATGGTAGAGAGATAGATGATATAGATAATATATATATGATAGATAGAAGATAGATAGATAGATATGATAGAGTGATGGATGTTAGAGAGATAGATGATATAGACAATAAATAGATGATAGATAGATAGATAGATAGATAGATAGATAGATAGATAGATAGATAGATAGATAGATAGATAGATAGATAGATAGACAGGTGATAGACAGATTTCTGTGTGTGTATAATACAGGAACTGCTTGAGAAAGCAGTTTGCTCGGATCAACCAGAGACTAAACAACACAGAGTGAAAGCTAAAGGCTACACTTCAGGACTATACATAAAACATGAAGAGAGAATTTGAAAGCCATGGTGACCACTGGAAATCCCTGAAGACTCTTAAATTTTCATATTGAATGCATCTTAATGCAAATAATAAATGGCCTCAAAGGGACAGCGATCCTCACATACCCAAGCTGGAAAGGGTTGTGTGTTCCCCTGGACACAATTCCTCTGTGGAAGCATTAGAAAAATGCAGTCTCACAAGTTCTTAATTTCTGGAAGGTACAGAGGAGTGCATTGTAGCAGATGGGTTGGTGCAGGCCTCAAATTTTCCATAATTAAGGGTTTAAAAGAAAAGGTAAAAGAAGAAGAAGAATGGGAATGAATCTACCTAAGATAGGGAAGGGTGATATCTAAAAACAAAGGAGAAAGTCTGAAGGAATAATCATGTCAAGAGCAGAAGACGCAGGAAGGTAAGAGGAAGAGCTTTTCTTTACAGCCGAGAGGGAAGCCCAGCATGGTGGTGGTGTAGGCCTGCAAACTCCAGCATTCAGAGGCCGAGACTGGAGAATTGCAAGTTGAGGCCAGCCTGATCTATCAAGAGGGACTCAGTCTCAAACCCACCCTTCCCTAAAAAAATAAATAAATAAATAAACATAAAAAAAAATCCAGTAAGGCTTTTAAAAAAATCTTATTCCAAAATTTATATGACAAAGTCATTATCTTTCCACCTAGAAAAACGGCAATATAGAGTTATAACAAATGTGTAAGTAACTATGCGGCAACAACTGCAGCAAACTTAAGGCAAAGGAGGGTGCATCCCTCTGAAGTTATAACATACCAAGTGTAACGTCATTCGAAGGCAGGCTGCATCTCTGAGGTTATAACATACCAAGTGTAGCGTCATTCGAAGGCAGGCTGCATCTCTGAGGTTATAACATACCAAGTGTAGCATCATTCGAAGGCAGGCTGTGACGGGCCAAAGTTGAGACTGCATGCCCTGAAACAGCCACTGAAACCACAAACAAGGCATTACAGCTAACCACCTGATAAGCGACATAAAATGGATACATAAAATAGTTTAAAAGAGAGGGAGAAAGAGGACTCTGCTCAAGGCCTCCTTCCTAAGCACCCTCCCCAATGTATTGGAGGACTGGTTCCCAGCATGCCACTGTTGGGGTGAGAAGCTTTAAGAGGTGAGGCCTGGTGAGAGGTTTCGAAGTGACTGAGAACACCCTCCCCTGCTCCCTTCATCTTCCTCTTTTTATTTCTGGCCATGAAGTGAGTGGTTCTGTTCCATCATGCACTTGTACCGTGATGTGCCACATTGCTCAAAGCATCAAGGTCAGCTGACCGTGACCGGAGGCCCCACGTCTCAGGGAAGATTTTTTTCAGTTGGTTGGTTTGCTATTTTTGTGTTAAAGCAAGGCCTCCATGTGTGGTGCAGGCTGACTTCACATTTGAACTTGCAATTCTTCTGTCTCTGCCTTCCAAGTGTTGGGCTTAGAGGTCTGTGACACCATACCCAGGCTTCTGGTGGGTTTCTGTACAAAAACTGACAAGCTAGTTTTAACATTTACATGGTCATTCAAGGAATTTACAGAGTAGCCACAACAGCCTTGAAGGACAACACTGCCTGACTTCCAAATTTATTAAAAAGCTAAAGGAATCAAAACAGTGTTTGGTGGGGTTTTTTTGTTTTGTTTTGTTTTGTTTTGTTTTTTTTTGTTGTTGTTGTTGTTGTTTTTAAGCCATGTCAATTTTAAGAAAAGAACAGAGAAGCAGGGCTGGGGCCTATCTCAAAGTACAGGGCTTGCCTAGCATGTGTGAAGTCTCGGATTCAATCCCTTACCACCGTCCAGAAAGGGAGGGAGGAGGACAACAGGATGGCTTAGCTGGAAAAGGAGTCCCCTGCTGACACTCCTTCCCCAGGACTCACAGGGTGGAAAGAATGTTGTCCTCAGACCTCCACACATGCACGGTGGCACACCCATGCCCTATCTTACACATATATGTGTGTGTGTATGTGTGTGTGTGTGTGTGTGTGTGTGTGTGTGTGTGTGTATGTATGTATGTATGTAAGAAATTATAAAACAAGCCATCAAATCTAAAACTAGCCATGCATGGTAGTACATCCCACATCTGGGAGGCTGAGATGGAAGTTCTAGTCTGACCAGCTTGGGCTGCATAGATACTAAATCAACAAACAAGAGAAAGGAAAAAAAAAAGACACTGCTGACAGAATGAAGGTAACAGACAATCTGGGAGAAAATCTTTATGCAGCAAATACTTGAGAAAGGGCTTGTAGGTAAAAAACGGGCCAAGGATTTTTAACAAAACCCTTTTTACCATGTACTTCAGACACTTCACCAAAGATATTCCGGTGGCAAATAAGAAAAAATCAGACTGCAATGAGATCACATCACACAACTAACATTAAAAGGTCTCGCTATCCCAAATGTTGTTAAATAATATAGAGGAGGGCTAGCAGTATGGCTCAGTGGCAGAGCACTTATGAAACACACAAAAGGCCTGGGGCTGATCCCCAGAACCTCAAAAAGCAAGCAAGCAAATAAAAAGGAGTGCAGAGGAGCTGGGCTCCCGCACCATTGGCAGGAATGTTAAACACACAGCCACTTCACAAAACAGGGAAGAAGTTTCTTTAAAAGCTAAGCACAGGCTGAGCATGTTGGCATACCCTTTCATCCCAGCACTAGGGAGACTGAAGCAGGCAGATCTCTGTGAGTTTGAGGCCAGCCTGGATCTACACAGCTAGCTTCAGGCCAGCAGGAGTGCATAGTGAGACCCTGTCTCAAAAACAAACAAACAAACAAACAAGTTAACCATAGCATCATAGAGTTTTCAGGGCAGTGAACTATTCTGTATGATACTATAATGACTCTGGAAACACAACATACAAGTCAATATTACACAGACTGAGCAGGTTCTATTTAGGAACACACACACACACACACACACACACACACACACGGTATGTAACTACAATTAAAGAAAAAGAAGTTATGAATTTGAAGGAGAGAAAGGTGGGGGGTATTCAAGGGCTTAGAGGGGAGAAAGAAAACGGGGAAATGATGTAATTATATTATAATCTCAAAAAAATTACAAAAGAAAATGCAACTAAATTCAGCCATAGAGGCCAACCAGCTTATTAGTTGCCAACAGAAGGGTGATGGATTATGAGAGTCTTAAGTAAACTTTGAGAACTAATAGTTATGAACACTTATTGACTGTAGTGATACTTTCCCATATACATAAGGAAAAATATGTCAGATTATCTACATTTAGTATTCACAGTTTACTGTCTGTCTGTTATTCCCCAATAAAGCTGCTTTTCAAGGATGTCTCCACGATCAAGAAAATGTGAGTGACTGGCACTTCACCTCCTCTTGCCATCCAGTGCTTAGAAAGCTGAACCAAGAGCTTGGTCTCACCCTGCTTCCTCTGAGCTCTGTGCCAGGGCTTTGCAGACTCCAAATGTGCATTTCACAAAGGCCGTCCGAGCAGCCCGTCTCCCCGCTCTGAATCCTTATCACCCCTCCTCATCCTGTCCCCATGGTTAAACAGCTATGAGACGTCATGTTCTTAGGAAAGTCCAGCTTCACCCCACCCCTACCCTGAGAAAGACTTCAAATTCGATAACTGTAAGAAAGCCAGCACAGACAGACCAATTTACAGTGTTTACAGAGCTCTGCCAGGGGGAGGCCCCACCAGAGATTTAAGTCATGTTATTTCTGCTCTTTTGCAAGTGTAGATGAGAACAGGAACACACTTGGCCATCACATTATCTGTTATAATCAGGTTCAGCTGCACGCAATAGAAAAAAAAATCTAGTCGTTTACAGACAAGGATTTATTCTCTTCACTTTGCAAAGTCCAGGAGTCAGGCGCTGTTCAGTTGGCTCTTTGAAGTTATCAAGGTCTCTGCCTTCTGTCTTCTCTGGCATGTGACTTCCATCTTCAAGGTCACATGATGGCTGCTGAAGTTCTGTTCTCAGTGGCAGTAAGGAGCTGGGGGGGGGGGTTAAGGGAGGTGCCTGATCACCCTGGGAGACCTAGCCAGGCTGCGGGAAAGGAGGGAGCAGGGCACCATGCCATCAGAAGCGCAGGTGCCTGATGACTGGAGTCTGAGACGGGGCAGACTCAGAACAGGCAGGTTCTGAGACAGCACAGCTCCAGTATGAGGACCCCAGCTTTGAATGCTAAGGCTTCTCTCTCCCTGAAGAGCTGCTGCAGAAAGAGCATCTCTGCCATGCTGTGGGCCAGCCTTCAGGACTGTGGAACTGGCCCTAGAAGCCTGCACTGACACTCAGTCTCAAATGCCTTCACCTTCTCTGTGTGAGCACACAAAGCCACACAAGGTTTCTAATGTGGGGCAGAAACAGAGGGAGAGCTTCTTCTCTATGATCATATGATTTTGTTTTGTTTCCGAAAAAATCCTCACCCCAGCCCAACTCCGGAGCTGAGGACCAAACCCAGGGCCTTGCACTTGCTAGGCAAGCGCTCTACCACTGAGCTAAATCCCCAACCCGTTCATATTCTTAAAAAATGTTAATGGGTCCACTAATTCATGGGGGGGGGGAGCTGTCCTGAAGGGTGATGGTGGAGGAACAGGAATGGGAGTATCTGTTCACTAGTGAAGATTTTCTTGGTTTTGGCTCTCTGGTTCCAGTACTGCCCAAAGCTGCTTTGTCCTGTTCAGCTCTGAGCTCTCCTGCTGCTGTTAGAGAAAGAGACCAGAAGGAATCCAGCCACACTTCATTCCCTTCACACTCCAGAGGCTCCTGAACACAGAATCTGGAAGAGGCAGCCCTAGACGTTGGGCCTGCCCAGGTCCAGCACTTCACTGTAATTACTGGAGTAGCCTGTTGCCTTTGTTTAAAGATGTTAGCGGGGCATGGTGGTGCAGGCCTCTCTCCCCAGCACTCAGGGAGCAGAGGCAGGTGGATCTCTGTCAATTTGAGCCCAGCCTGGTCTACACAGTGAGTTCCAGGACAGCTAGGGCTATGTAAAACTATATATTGTCTCAAAAAAGTAAAAAATGGGGGCTAGAGAGATGGCTCAGCATTTAAGAGCACTGGCTGCCCTTGCAGAGGACCAAGAGTCAATTTCTAGCACTCACATAGTCATTCACAAACATCTGTAACTCCAGGTCCAGGGGATCTGATGCCCTCTTCTATGGGCACCAGGCATGTACATGGTATACATACATACATGTAGACAAAACACCCACCTGCATGAAATAATAATTCTAAAGGGAAATCTTAAAAAACTGTAAAATACATTTTAGAGAGAATATAAATAAATAAAATATAAAGCAAAATAAATCTTTCTCCTTCCCACAGCATTGCTCCCTGGGGATCATCAAGGAATTTCTGGCATATCTTTCCAGAATCGTCTACAAATGTATATTCTGTTGATTGCATTTGCAAGAATATTACTTATAAATGATTCACTCAGTAACAATAATGAGTGATGATGTATAAGATGCATCTTATTTATATAGAAATTGGAAGCAGAAAACTAAAACAGCTAAAAAAAAAACAGTAAGTGGGCAATTCTTCCAGAGTGCAGTTTTTGAAATGACCACCAGGCGTCAGAACTGCCAGTTGGAATCCCTGACCGCTGGAAAGTTACAAGAGGGAAAGCGTCCACCGAAAATGTGGGTGACGCCTCCCTAGGCAGCTGCTTTGGCCCTTTGGCCCAGAGTCTCACCCGCTGGCCTCGGGGTGGTCTAGGAAAGGGAAGCTCAGGAAAAACACTGGGCAGTGAGGCCATGCTCTCGCACTCAGCTGGCCTCCCTCTGGTCTCTTCAAAGCTGTCCAATCGACGTGAGACATGCAAACGTGGTCGGGCGGCCAGCCCTCCTGTCACTGCAAGGCTGCTTGCTGAAGTCAAGACACCTTTCCTGTCCAAAGCTGGGGGACAGGCGGGGACTCACCCGCAGCCGTCCTGTTTCAGTAGGGACATCCAGTTCTGGGTGCACGGAGCTCTGGGTAAGCAGAACAGCAGTTCTTGCCACTTCCTAATTGACTCAGCACAAGTTTCCTGTCCAGGCCCAGGCTGCCATCTCCAGATGCTGGTAGAAAAGTGCCCAGCCCCCACACGGAGCACGGGGCATCCCATTCACAACTCTAACTCTCAGGCTGCTGCTCCAAGGGAGTTATACAGCTGATCCCGACTGACACGCCCCACCCCCACTCTTCCGCCGGTACCCTGCTCTATAGAACTGACACCTTGTTGGGAACAGAGTAACTCCTGGGAGCAAGCTTTCTCCTGCATCTTCCTGGATTGTCAGCATCCAAAGAGGGACAGGGTACAGTTACAGAGGGGCTCCAACATGAGAGACCCCATCCTGGGAGGATACAAGGGGCCCTGGGGGAACAGCGGAAATGTCTTGAAGAAGCAGGCAATTTTTTTTTTTAATTTTTTTTGGGAGGGGAGGGTTTCGAGACAGGGTTTCACTGTGTGGCCTTGGCTGTCCTGGAACTTGCTCTGTAGACCAGGTTGGTCTCGAACTCACAGAGATCTTCCTGGCTCTGCCTCCGAGTGCTGGGATTAAAGGCGTGGGCCACCACCACCCGGCTAGGCGGGCAAGTTTTTATGTGCTATCCCAGTGAGCATTTGTCTAGGGGGTTCCTTGGACCACATCCCACTTCTGAACCTTAGATTATGGAAAGCATCACATAGAATTCAGACCTACCACATACTGAGGTAGAACAAAACCATATGCCCGTGGAAGGGACAGGAGTGGTGGAATGTGAGAGGAGGAAGGAAGAAGAGTCCTGCCCTTCATAGGCAAAGACATTCTAGTTCTACTGGAAATGTGACCTCCATACTTCCTGACAGGCGAGGTAAGGTGACCTTTTTATGTGAGTTGAATGTCTGTATCTGCCTAACTGGCATATCCTATATAGGCCACATGAAGCAACTGTAATTATTTTAGTCACTACACACTTTAAAAGCTATATACATAATTTAAAATGACACATCTGTGATGCCATACACATAGTAAAAATGCTGGTTATTATTAAAACATAGGTCCTATTCACACTCAAATAAGATTACACAGGATGTTTGATGTCCCATACATAATGTACGACCAGTGCTTCATGTAATGATATAAAGGGGATAAACAATGCTTACATCGGGATGGACGTTAACTTACTCTGCAGCGTAATAGCTGTTGCTTTGATGTGGCCTGCAAAGGATTGGCAACAGGACACCCCCATTATCCTAGCATATGTGATGCATGAGGTGTGGGAGAAAGAACCTCGGTAATATCACCCACACGCCAGCCCTGATGAGGGTGCCAAGAATGTGCTCCGTGAGGAGAAGGAGGCTGAGCCAATCCAGCTGTCCCCTTGCTGGCCACTCCTTCAACTGCTTAGTGACCACTGGGTAAAACTGAGCCACCCAGATCCCTGGAAAGCCAAAGAACATCCAGACATCTGAAGAGCCTTGCTTTCAGTCACAAGTGCCACTTCATTGAGCCATTCAAATGACAAGGGTTCCACAGGCCAACAGAGACTTCACAGGTCCACGTGGACCTGAAATTCTTTCCAAAAGGAGCAATGGGTGCCGAGAGGAGAGAGGAAGGGATTCAGCCTCACCCTACTGAAGCAAATACCTGCTTGCTCACCCTCCAAGTTAATCACGCTTTAGGCCTGCGTGAGTCACCCAAGAGGTGGGCGGTCATGTTGAGTTTGCCACGTGTGGCATCCTAACGACAACAGCTTCATCCTCTGCTAATCCTCCTCCTTAAGTGGCTCCACCTCCAAGCCCCATGCTCAGCCAGGCAAAGGCCAGCATCACAACATCCGAAGTTTCAGTCAGGACCATGGGGCGTGCCCCTTCTAGAGAGTGAGTCAGGAAATTGCCGAGGTGAACGTACAAAAACAGCACTTCCTGCTTCAGACGCCAGCCTGGCACACAAGGTCAGGCTAAATGCTCTCAGGCAGGCTCTAGTCACGAGCATCCCTCCCACATGGGCAGGTGGCCTTCCTCATCTACAGTCAAAGAGCTTCTGAGGTGGTGACAAATAGCTGTTGCTGTTGACATGCAGAACAATGCAGAAGGAAACCTTCCTCAGCAGGTCTCAGCTCCAGCTTTCCTGGCAGTGAGAAAGGCAAACTGAAGGCACCAATGGTGGTGGAGAGAATGGGTTCCCTTGCTCCCTGGGTGGCTCATGACATTTCAATCCCCTTCAATCCAATACGGCTGAATTATTTTTAACCTTACAGAGCCTCCTGGCTTTTAGAAAGAAATGTAAGTCGGAGGAGTTAAAG